CACCCTGTCTACTTTTAAGGCTAGGCTTAAAACTTTCCTTTTTGATAAAGCTTCTAGTTAGAGTGGCTCAGTTTATCCTGATCTATCTCTATAGTTCTGCTGCTATAGGCTTAGACTGCTGGAGGACATAGGGACCCCTTTTTCATCATTCTATCTCTATTCTTCCACTCTGCAGAATCTGTTAGTTCAATCTCTAATTTTATTTTCTCTCTTTCATCCCTTTGATTTGAAAACGGGCCCAGACCTCCTCTGCTTTAAGCCGGGCGTACACTGTACAATTTTTTTGTCCTTTTCTGGCCGATTCTCACGTCGTGCGAGAATTTTTCGATCGGGATGACTTTCCCCCTCATCGTGCGTCGTTTAGTGGCGATGAGCCTCTCACGGCCACCTCCCGATCGGCCTTTGTAAGGTGGTCGTGGGTAAACCGCTTAGTGGGCAAACAAGGATTCTTCCTCTCAGATGAAAACACAGACTGGGGTTCGAATGGAGTTCTGTCAAACTGACTGACCGTAGTAGCCACGTTTGCTCAGCCGTGTCTTTGTCCAAATACGTCGTCTCCTTTTCTTTTTAGGGCTTTTAGCATAAAATTGCACACATTTCCAAGGTTTCACTCTAGTGAGCTTCATATTCCTCTTCTACTCGTTTGGCTTCCTGATAGACGAGTCAGAGTAGCGCCATCTCACCGCAGAGCTGAGTCTCACCTGGTTTTTAGACGTACAGTGTGAGCAGGTAGATCGCATCAGAGCGTCGGGTCGCAGTTTGAGAACAAACATCGTGAGCGGTGAACTTTTAAACCCTGCGGTTTCATCGTACAGTTTGAGCTGTAGCTGCGTGCAATGATTGAAAATATCGCAGAGTGTACGCCCGACTTTACCGTTTCTTTGACAGAGCCACGTACTGAGCTAATTTACCATCACCTAAACTAGAAGGTATTTATAGACCAGAGTGTCATAACTCGCTAAATCCGATGATCTGAGAGGAACATCAGGACCTGCTGGTTACAACTGCAAGAGAAGACGTCCGTGATCAGCTGCCAGTGATCGTCTTGGAGGACTTCTAGATTTAAATGATTTCAGAAGATTTTAATGACCTCACAGATCATTTATCCTCAACATGCTTGGTTTAAATGGTCCAACGAGACGTCTAATGCCTCAACCATTGGCTAATCAATCAATCAATCAATCAACATAGATGATAGGTCACCTGGACGGTCTCGATGAGGCTGGAGCAATAGAAAGGGAGAGCGACCACAGCGGTTAACCTGTGGGAGAGAGACACCGACCGTCAGCGTGAACAGAGAGAGAGAGAAGATAGCGAACATTCTGCAGAGAAAACATGTTTGGAAAGAGGTTTGTCTTAACAGGAAACTAATCAAATCGTTTAAAAAAAAAGCCTTTA